ATGTTACTAGGTCTGGACTGTATGCGGACTGTATTACAATCTAGTTACGTGCACGTATTACCAGTTCTACTGAGCCGTAAATATTACTACGCTGCGGTAACAGTATTATATATACGCACCCGCAGCGGTGCGCGGTGCGCGTGCGCGCGCAGTGCGGTATAATATGGTGTGGTATATGTACCTCTATAAAGTTGAACAGTTGGGTCGTGGCTAAGGTACTATTGCGTACGAATGTCACATGAACGCGCGCTACCAGTACTTCTAAGCTCCATGTGCAACTAGCCTACGCAAGACTTTTAATCGATATCGTTGTCGATGAATCACACGCACGTAAGCAGAATGCATCGCGGTGAACAGGACGGCAGGAGTTGATGTCCTATGGGCTCCATTTCCAAACACCGGCTATGAATTGGGCGAAGATAGGGCTAATTAGTGATAGAAGGAGTGCTTCATCTCATTATCTACCGCGATGAGTCGCGTGCGTAGAGTCGGCAATGCTCAGAGAAATTCGAAGCGGGTATCCTGAGGGAGATGTTGACGTCGATGCTACCGTTCGCGTGGTTCGCCGCACACAACACAGACCACACCACACGCCATCACCGAAACACACCCACACACACACTACACACACACATCGGACCACACCACAACACAGCACACACAGCACACACACCGACACGATACACACGCACACACCCCGACATACACACACACTACACACATATACAACACACAGCACAGCACTCACGAGGACGCTCACACACGATACACCCACACAGCACACACACACACCTACACAGCATATCACACAACTACACGACACACAACACACCGCACACACACCACACACCACGCTCACACACACACACCAGCACAACATAAACACTAGCGAGGCCCACACACACACACACACATCACACGTCACACTCACACACACCACACACACACACAGCACCACACACACCACACAAACCACACACACACACACACACCACACATACACCCGCATACAGCACGACAGCGCACACGACACACGCGCGCACACACACACAACACATCTCACACACACACAGCGCCGCCGCGCACACCACACACACACCACGCACACACAGCACGACACAGACACAACACACCAACACCACGCACCACACAACAACACACATACAGCAACAGGCGGTATAACACACACACGCACCCACACACGCGCACACATCAGCAGGCAAGCACATTCCCGCGCGCGCGCGACACAGCACACACAGCACAACACCACACGCACCCACCCCCCCACACGCACACTCACGAGCGCACACGCCACGCCGCACGACACACAGCACACTACACACACGTTACACGCACACGCACACGCATCGGCACGCACGCTCCGCCACAGATCGCAGCACACACGACGCACGGACTCTCTCTCTCTCTTCTCTCTCTCTCTCTCTTCTTCTCTCTCTCTCTCTCTTCTCTCTCTCTCTCTCTCTCTCTCTCTCTCTCTCTCTCTCTCTCTCTCTCTCTCTCTCTCTCTCTCCTCTCTCTTTTTCTCTCTCTCTCTCTCTCTCTCCTCTCTCGTTTTCTCTCTCTCTCGCTCTCTTTCTATCTCTCACTGTCTCTTGTTCTCTCTCTTTTCTCTCTAGCGCGCGCTCTCTTTCTCGGCTCGGCTGCAGCGTTGGTTTATTATAACAGCACGCACACCGCGTTTTCCGGTGACGTATTTACACATCGGTGACGGGTAAACACGAGGCGTGCTGCCCGCTACAACAGCAACACATGTACAGGAGCGACGTAACGACTCTCGCGGGACCTGCGCCTCGCTCTGTCGCCGCCGCCATGTTTTTGTGCGAAGCTGGTCAATGGTTGCGGGCAGTTCCATGTTTGTCTGATGGTTAAACGTGTTATCCTCTCGCGTGGTCCACGTTTATTTGGCATAGTGCGTTTATGCGCTGGGCTGCGCTTCGCCCGGGACTCGTGTGTGTTTTGTAGGGCTAGGCTTTTACGCGGTGGGTGATGAGTTTTCGCGCAACCATGTTTACTAGAGGTCGGTTATGTTTGTCTGGAGAAGATGAATCAATGTTTGATGAGAACAGGGTATGTTCGCCTGTAGGGAAAACGCTCGACCATATTTAATGTTTCGCTAGTGTGCGCGTGTGTGTGCGGCGGAAGAGTATGGTGACGAGTGGGTCAGATGTGAAATGCCGAGCAGCAGGGTCACTTGTCTTACTATTATTCGTTATTCACTTACTTCATGTTGCTAATATGTGCTCTAATGTGATATAGAGTCAGCTAACATAGAAAAATACGTACCCGGATGATGTTGTACCGGGTTAGATAAATTTCCCACAGTCTTTTCTAATAGTTGAAGATAAAATAGCCACAAACCACGTTACACTCCTGACGTCACTGTCACAAAACACGTGCCAGTGTTGAGGTCGCGAGCGTTAGCGGAAGCCCGCAGGCAGACATTTCTTCTCGTGGAACGTGATTTTAGTTCAGAAAGCGCAATGCAGCGAATTAAATTATTGAATTTGCGGCAAACGCAAAGCATGTCGAGTGCACGAGGACATGCGTGCGTGTGCGCTCTCGGTCGGTGAATATCAAACTCACGCGTAGATGTTAGTGAATTCGGTTTGCAGATCGCACGAAGCGACGCTCATACCCTCTGAAAACACTGGCAGCAAGATCAAGTCCGTCCCCACCATGACGCTCACGCTACAGCACACACGCACGCACGCACGCACGCACGCACGCACACACGCACGCGCACACATACACGCACACACGCACGCACGCACACACGCACGCACATACACGCACACACGCACACACGCACGCACGCACGCACACACGCACGCACGTACACACATACACACACAGACGCACCCACGCACGCACGCACACACATGCACACACACACATACCACATCTCTGCGAGGTTGCGTGGCAGCGCACGTGCGCGGTCGATAGAAGGGGAGGGGAAGCCACTCTGGAGACGTAGGGTAATGTACGCGAACATGGAAGACAGCGTACGCTCTCATTGTACAGCACCGATGCACGATTGTCGAGATAGGAAGAAGAAGAAGGTTCGCGTTTTATCATCGCGCGGTGTTTCGTACAGATACACGACACAACACACACACACACACACCCCACACAACACACACACACAACCCAACACACACACACACACACACATACACACACACACACACACACACACACACAACACACACACACACACACACACACAAGCACGGACGCGCGCGCGCGCACACACACACACAGCAGACCGCGCGCACACAACACATCACAGCACACGCTGACG